CATGGACATAGGCAGAGTGGTGAAAAATTTGAGTCATCCAATGCACATGTTCCCAGCTGAGGTTGAAAGAGGTGACACTGCCTTGTTTCAGCTCTCATACTGTAAACAAATGTCCTTTCTGAGGTCTATTCAGTACCACGTCTTTCACATTTTTATACTTTTTGTAGGTGATTTTTCTGTTTACAATGGTTCCCAAGTATAGAGTTGAAGTGCTGCCTAGTGTTCATAAATGCAAGAAGTACCTAAACTTGTGGATTCATGAGGTGACTACTAATTTTAAAAAAAGCATAGTGGGAGGCTGAAAGTTAAAAAACTATACAGATACATAACCCAAGGACAAGAAAATATTAAACCTCTCTCAGCTAGTGCAGTCTGGCTTGCATATTTTAAAAAGTGATACAGCAGGAAAAGGTTAAATTTGTAGGTCAAGGCAGATTCTGTAGATCAGGAGGCTGCAGAAAAAATTTTAAAATACTTGTTAGCGAGCTCAAACAATCTGCCCACCTGGCCTCCCAGAGTGCTAGGATTACAGGCGTGAGCCACTGCGCCCAGCCTAATTGTATTTCTTAACACCTCTAAAACAATGCTGAATAGTAGCCAATAATGAGTGCATTTTCTTTGTTTCTGACTGTAATGTGAACTCCTTCAATATTTCCCATTAAATAAACTGCAGATTTTTAGACTGAAGTATATGTTTCATCATATTAAAAAGTATCTATCAATTATTGTTTTGTCATGGATGAGAATTTAATATTGTCGAGTACCTTTTTGGCTTCTATGGAGATGACACAGTTTTTGTCATGCCTATAACTATGACGAGTTATAATAAAAGATTTTCTAGTTTGAATCACTTTACATCCATAGCATAATCCTTTTTGGTCATTATATACTATTTTTAATGTACAGTTGGATTTTCTTTGTTAATATTTTAAGATATTTGCATCTATGTACATAAGTGACATTCATCTGTAAAATTTTCCACAGTTTATTTTTATATTTTGGTGTCAATGTTATGCTTTATTTCAGAAAAAGAATTTAGAAGTTT